TATTACATTTAAAAAGACAGTACTTGTTGAAATGAATTTAACCATTAATAATTGAAAGCAGGTATATGCACATAGAAAACATATAAAATGTATACAACCCATAGAGTAAATACATGGGTTCTATAGAGTGCATATAGCTCCCTATAATAGGGCATATAACATATCAGCTGCTTAAGAAGGACAAAAGAGAGAAATAAAATAAGTATGGTTATAAAATAATTATGGTTATAAGATAATACAGAGTGTGGCAATGTACACAATATATATAAGTGGTGTCCAAATTGAATAGAGAGAATATAAGGTGCAGCGAGTGGAGAACGGTGGAGTTCCAAAATATAAAATGACTTATTGTAGGTCAATATATCGCCTAATTCATAAATGTATAAAAATCTTTATAAAAAGCATATATATATATATATATATATATATATATATATATATATATATATATATAGGTATAGTGGCACTCTTCAATGAATCAATAAAAGACTGCCTTGGTGCAATCCCACGCTGGATATGTAAAGCAAAAGGGAAAGAGATGCACTCTCAGGTCTTTGTAGAAAATAACTCGATATTATTTAATAACAGGTAACATATATCTGATCGACGTTTCAACCTCTTCAGGTCTTCCTCAAGATCAATATACAAACATATACAACACAAATATATAAGCAACATAGGAGGAGTTACTCACCAAACAAACAGTGCACACCGGTTTCCATTAGTTCGAACCCGGAAGTGTAAGTGAAGCGTCATGTGACACATGTCATGTGATGTATGGGCATGACCATTACCATGATGTGGTTGCTAAGAAACGGGTAAACTAAACCCGAGCAAATATGTAGTGAACATGAAACAGCTCGGATTAGGCAGAGAATTATCTGTGCAATGGAGTGAAAGGGCATAAAGCTCTGTGAAATATACAGAACTATAATACCTACCAAATAGCATAATATAAACGCAATACAGTGATCACCACTAATAGTGAGGACTCAAAGGTCCATTTCTACGAAAAAAGACTATATTAATATTGGTCCAGTATCTGACATACACCAATTAAAGTGACCATATGTATGTGAATCTGAAGTAGTGTAAACATGCACCCAGTAAAAACAATACAAAAAAAAATGTATAATGCATAACACATACAATTAAATCAAGCATAACATGGACACAAAGTATACAGAGTATTAAAATGGGAATACTATATGAGGACTTTAATTAGAGAATCCTACAAAATAGATGAAGATTAGGACAAAAGCTTATAGCATCTGAGGCTACTAGTTGGTCTCCCATACAAGTACTAGCCAGGCCTGAGTCTGAATAGCTTCTGAGATCTGGCGAGATCAAGCATTTTCAGACTACAATGGCCATAGGTTCTAGGCAAGAGAGTATGGACACTGGGTATTCAATGATAAGCTATAGGTAGTGGACTAAAACCACATTCAAGACAGAACAGAAGAAAAAAAAGAAGGAACAGGGAAAAAAGGACTAATCCATATGCTCTGTATATCATGTAAATACACGAAAATAAATACTTCAAATAAAAACTGCAGAGTCTATAGTAGCAATAAAAAGGATGTAGAGATGTCAGTTAGGCTAAATAATCGCTAAAAGTGATTGGAATACAGCCATATGCAGTAATACTGAAAATCTATTGCAATATCAGTCACTGACCATGTGAGGGAAAAAAGTAAAAAATTTGCATACAAAAATATACATACACACACTATACAGAAAAATGTATACAAAAAATAAAATAGAATTACAAAACTACACTGCCAAAATGGTATATGCCAGTGTCGAAGGACTTACACTTCCGGGTTAGGACTAACGGAAACCGGTGTGCACTGTTTGTTTGGTGAGTAACTCCTCCTATGTTGCTTATATATTTGTGTTGTATATGTTTGTATATTGATCTTGAGGAAGACCTGAAGAGGTCGAAACGTCGATCAGATATATGTTACCTGTTATTAAATAATATCGAGTTTTTTTCTACAAAGACCTGAGAGTGCATTTTATATATAAAATTCTTATAAAATATTAATTGTTTTTACTGTGTATTATTTTAAAAAATGACAAATTTCTAAATCATTATTTAGGCTCTGTGGGATCAAGGTGTTTAAATTACAGATCCATTTTATCTTGGCCCGTCCAATCTTTACATTAAAAATGTAAACACCATGATCCCACATGGCCCCTCATTCAACTGATACAGACCCTTGCTCTGCAATATGTAATTCTCTAATTTTTTGCAACCTCCAGTGTGGCACCCCTACATATCAATAGACTATATCATGTGTGTTTAGGACCAACATCAGAAGCTTTTCAGTCTGGAGTACAACAATTGATAAATCCAATTAGCTTAATGTTCTCATTAGTAGTCGATTATATATGGAGTGGGAATTAACTTGCTCAGTTTCAATGTTTCCTTTGTTGCCAATCTTTAATATACTGTCTATCTAGTATTATTTTAAGGGCTAAATTATTTTAGCTCTATATTTACCTCTTTTGCACAAAATAGGGTACTTTTTAACCCCTTAAGGACTGGACTGTTTTTGCGATGTTGTACATTTGCGACCAGGAATATTTTTACACTTTTGTGGTGTTTGTGTTTGGCTGTAATTTTCCGCTTTCTCATTTACTGTTCCCATACAAATTATATATTTTTTTTTTCAGGACAAAAGGGGCTTTCTTTACATACCATTATTTATATAATCCCATGTATTTTAATTTAAAAAAAATACAAAAATCTGATGAAAAATTGAAAAAAATACATGTTTTTTGACTTTTACTTGAAAAATCTTTTACTCATCTACAAAAGCGAATGAAAAAAACTGCCAAATAGATTCAAAATTTTGTCCTGAGTTTAAAAATACCTAGTGTTTACGTGCTTTTTTGCTTTTTTTTGCATGTTATAGGGCTATAGGTACAAGTAGGATATTGCGGTTTCAAAACATACATTTTAAAATTTATCAATAGTGACATTGTAACACTATTATCTGTCATAAATCTCTGAATAACACCCCACATGTACATATTTTTTTTAAAGTAGACAACCCAGGGTATTCAATATGGGGTATGTCCAGTCTTTTTTAGTAGCCACTTAGTCGAAAACACTGGCCAAAGTAAGCATTCATATTTGCTTGTGTGTGAAAAAAGTAAAAAAACTAAATTGAACGCTAATTTTGGCCAGTGTTTGTGACCAAGTGGTTACTAAAAAAGACTGGACATACCCCATTTGCAATACCTTGGGTTGTCTTCTTTTGCAAATGGTATGCCATCATGGGGGTAATTATCATTCCTGGGCTACCATACGCTCTCAAAGGCAACGTAAACAACCTGGCCATTTTCAATGTAAAAATATTTGACCCATATATTTGACCTTGTAACTTTCAAAAATGCTATAAAACCTGTACATGGGGGGTACTGTTTTACTCGGGAGACATCGCTGAACACAAATATTAGTGTTTAAAAACTGGAAAACGTATCACAACAATTATATCATCAGTAAAAGTGCTGTTTGTGTGTGAAAAATGCAAAACAAGTCACTTTCACTGACAATATCATCGCTGTGATATGTTTTACTGTTTTGAATCACTAATATTTGTGTTCAGCGAAGTCTCCCGAGTAAAACAGTACCCCCCATGTACAGGTTTTAGGGTGTCGTAGAACGTTACAGGGTAAAATACAGTGCTAGCAAATTAAATTCTCTGGAATTTCGGCCTGGGTTGGCAGGCAGGTCCCTCAAATTACAATCAATAAAATTACTGAATTATGTAAAAATATTACATAAATACGCACGTAGAATTTAAATATATATGCATATTTATATATTTGAAGTCTACGTGTATATTTCTATAATTATTTATGTAATTTTGTATATAGACGTATGTATATTTCTTATTATTTTTATTTATTTTTATATACATAGATATATATACAAATTCATTCTAAGTGTATTTTGATATAAATATATATATATTAATTTTAAAATACAGTTAGAATAAAATTTCATATAGCTATATAATTTTTTTTGAATTTTTTATTATTATTTAAAAAATTTTTTATTTAATTTAAATTACTTATTATTTATATTTTATAATAATATATATATACAATATATATAGTTATTATATATATTATATATATACGTGTGTAATTTAATTATAAGTGTATTTTATATTAATATAAGTACATATTAATATAAAAATACACTTAGTATGACATTATATATATATATATATGATATATAGACATATATTATATAGATATAATATATGTCTATATATCATATATACACATATATAATTATTTTATTTATTTTTTATTAACATTAACTTTATTTTTTTTTAATGATTTTACACTAGCAGGGAGACTGTCTGTCAGCACAGGCAGTCCCCCTGCAGGCAGACACATGGACACCTATTGTGACCATGTGATCGCCACAGGGGTCCTAATCTGCCGTGGGGAGACTGTCTGGGCTGCAGGCAGTCTCCCCACAACCGGAGGAACACTGATCGCCGCCGGGGGAACGACGGCGATCAGGTAAGTACCCCCAGACCGTTAGGACGGTTCAGGACCGTCATCGGTCGGCAAGGCAAAAATGCCGATGACGGTCCTGAACCGTCCTCGGTCCTTAAGGGGTTAAATCTCTAGATGAGCCACATATAAACGATTGTGTGTATCGAAAAGTTTAATTATGACACAAGAGCGCCATCTGCTGAACTTAAGAGCTATTATTTTTCCATCACCTACCCTACAGCTATCAGCACGTACTTTCAAAATGACTTAATATTATTAATATTTTAATCTTGTAACATTTATATTTTTTTTATATATATATATTTTTTTTATAAATTTGATATATGTTTGATATGTATATCTAAAGATATATAGCATGTGTGCTCCACAAATAAATAAAGGAAACAAAAGAAAGTTCCTATAAAATATATACCTTTAATACAAAAATATCAGCAAAAACAATGAAAAACAATTGACCTAAATGTAATTAATAACTCTTAAGTGGGACATATAACACAATAAATAAACGATGTATCCAATTCGAACATTGGTTCATATCATATGCTTCCCAAAAACTGCAACAGTTTCAATTAATACAGAAGCAGCATGTTGCAGTACATAGGGAAAGTAGATAAACACAAAGGGGGTTGAGCAACTACGTGTTGCAAATCTTTGTGAAAAACCCTTTTATAAAATAGCATGTAAATTGTATATAAACAGTAGGAAATATACTGGATTAATACTCCACTTTAAGAGAAAAATATGTATGTTTGATATGTTAATATTTTTTTTTTTTTAAATAATGTAAAAGTGTATCCATAATATTAATTTAAAATGCTTTTCCAACAATATTAAACAGAATAAGTTATCTTGCTTCTTTTTTATTTTTTATTTTTTTATTTTAGATACAGTGAGACCTTGGTTTACAAACGCCTCGGTTAACATAATTTTCGGTTTACAAATGAAAATCCATTGAAAATAATGCCTCGGTTTACAATTTTTTTTCGCAATACAAAGCAAATTTCCCCAGAATGCATTGCACCTGGGAGGTCTATAGCACCGCCCCCCACATACTGGAGTCTGTGGGTAGCAGGTGGCGTCGAGTGTGGAGGTGTTGGAGTGGCTTTTGCATCGAGTTTTGGAGCCATTCTGGAAATTGTTTGCAGTTGTTTTGGGACTTTTTGGTGCAAAAATATTTGTTTCTGTAACATGATGCAAATCAAGTTTTGACAGGTGTCTAGAAAACAATTAAGCTTTGTTCTCCCTGTTTTGTGCCTGTACACAATTTATTTCTTCCCTCTGTGCATTTTATTAAGCATACAGTTTGAGTATACAACGCAAATACGTGAGCACTGGCAGATATCCCAAAATACCTTTATCACAAGACCCCCCTCCATGAAGTTTGAAACCTGGTTTTCAATGTGATTTAAGAATATTCACAATTTCAAATTAGTATTTTATTGAACTTATAATCTTTGAGATATATCACTCTTCCACAGACCTCATCATCTTTACATTGGACAGATTGACCAACACAGTTAAATTCTTGATGACCTTAACATACAAAGCATCTCATTATAGCATAAATCTCATAACCCAGATAATGTTCACAGTTGTCCCTATATAGCATAGATAAATTATGGAGTCATTCTTTTGTATTGCTCTAAATTGCACAAATTCATTATTTATTTTTAGAAGTAAGAAAATAAAGAACAAAATCTATAACAGAAGATAATTTGCACCCAATATAAAATCCATTCTAGTATTTGAAATATAGTTATGATGTATATTTACTCAATATAAAAAAAAAACTGCTTCTAGAAAACATTGTTTTCTAAGTATTTATTGTGTGTTGACATATAATGTACTCACATTCGTAAAAAAATGCAAAAACATACACACAAAGACTTACCTGTAACTAGCAGACTTGTTAAGACACACACTGCACTCAGTATATTGGCCATACTGGAAGAAACTTGCGGTGATAGATTTTGGAATTATTAATACAATTTAAAGAGTTATTTTAAGAACACATTGATTTAAAAAAAGTCAGGGTGGAGGAAAAATTAACATTAAATAATAATAAATGCATATGCATTTCCTTCTCCTTCATAATCTCACTGCATAAGAATCCAATATAATGAGTGGGTTTGTTGTAGTTTGTTAGATAATTGTTACAAAATTCACTAACTCCAGCCATTGGAAAAAAGAGTATCTCTCTGGTATTGGCGTACTAAAGGGAGGGCGTGGAGCGGTTTGCTCCGGGTGACAGGTGGTGAAACACCGCTTCCCACCTAAGCACCTTCCTACCAGCATGTTGATTTTGGAGGTACCTAGGGCAGGTACCTGCTCTGAGACTCTTGAACTGATTTCCCAGCTCCCTCACGTATCTTGTATTACTGATGAAGCCAGAATACGATGTTATCCCACCTTTGGCAACAGTACAAAGCAGCGTGGAGCTTGGCAGTCAATGAGAGAGATCCCTACAGCTCCCACTGGACACCAGGGATGAGGTTTCACTCCAGCTCTCCCTGCCAAGGTAAGAACATAGAGGCTCTGTGGACAAACAAACAAACAAACTATTATTTATTAAAATAAAAATAAATAGTGCATGGGTGTAATTATGAGTTTTTCTTTAATTGTCTCTGTCTGTGTATGAGTCAGTGTTTGTGCATGACTCCGTGTGTGTATGGGCCTGTGTGTGTGTATGAATGTGTTTGTGTGTGTGTGTGTCTGTGTGTGTTTGTTATTGTGTATGAGCCACTGTGTATGTATATACATTTGTGTAAAAGTGTGTATGTGTCTATGTGTGTATATTAATGTCTGTTTGTGTATGTGTGTATATGTCTGGAGCCAGTATATAATATTATCCCAGCCCTGGCAACAGTATAGAGCAGCAAGGAGCTGGACAGTCAGTGAGAGAAATCCCATCAGCTCCCAACTGGAAAACAAGGATGAGGGTCCACTCCAACGTTTCCTGTCAAGGAAAGAACAAACAGTGAGGGAAAAAAAGTATTTGATCCCTTGTTGATTTTGAACGTTTGTCCACTGACAAAGAAATGATCAGTCTATCATTTTAATGGTAGGTGTATTTAAACAGGGAGAGACAGATTAACCCCAAAAAATCCAGAAAAATGCATGTCAAGGTATACATGGATGTGCATGTCAATGAGTGAAATATCCTTGTATAAATATCTTCCAATAAAAAGGGCCTGACCCTGTCTGCTAAACAATGATAAATGTTCCCAAAGGGAGCCAAAATATTGGAATGACTGTTATATACAGTAACAGCTTGTAATACTCAATCTGTCTTTGTTGTGTATTTGCAGACACAGACAAGAGTTGAAGCCAGACCAATGTATTGGGAGTGTGGGTGCAATGTTATTTATTAATTAATGAGTTTACATCATAAAGAAAGCATTGTTAGTGTAATGCTTTGGAGGCACCACTAGGGGCAGTGTGTAGGAATCCATGTGCTTCTGCCAGTGACATAACAGGCCAGCTACTTACACTGAATAAAAACCAGATTGCAGGAGGCATTGGGGTCTCTTTTGAAACAGTCTGTCTCTCTCTTTGGTTCTGCCCTTAACTGCCTAAGAATGTAGCAGCTGACGGCCCCAGCTCCACAAGCTGGGCCTGTATAAGTTTGTTCATGTTTTGTATTGTACCATGTGAAACCATTATAACATTTAGCAACTGTTATAGCCTTTTGTAAGTAATATGTTGTAGTTTTGTATTGTATAATTATTGTAGTAAATTAACATTCTGCTAGCATCTGTTTATTTATTATATTTATATTAAATATACATTTAATATTGCAAAGTTTTGTGTATTTTCTATCCTCATATTTGACCATAATACCACATACTATAAAAAATATTAATGTTGTTCCTTATTGCTTAATTATTATATATTAAAAGATTATTATTCATATTTAAGTCACGACCACAACAGTGGGAAAATTCAACTTTATTGAGGATGAAGCGCACACATTTAAAACAAAAAGTAGATGTTAGTTTCCTTTGTTTATTTTTCAACGATAAGGGAGATATTGTGCTTTGAAACACAGAGCAAAAGCCAGTGCGATGATCGTATAACATTGATGTCAATCCAGACAGAAATGAACAGAAAAGGGCTGGGCAATGTTAAGATATAATGTTAAACCACTCCACTGATGTTAACTCTTGAAACTTGGGAATGGGCACAGAAATATGTAACAATCAGTTGACACTGGTAAAACTAGATGGACATTTGGAAAACAATGAGAGCAACTAAAATCATTAAGTGATAACATATATTGCTGTATAGTGCAAAATATAAAATGGTGGTGAGAGCACTCAAATCATGCAAATACAATATTTTACCAGAACTTTGTTTGTTGGAATATCTAAAAAAAACATAAAACACAGAAACATAGTATAATACTGTTTAAAATATGTGCAAAATGTTGTATGTGACTGGTTAAACTCACATATTTCTGAGTCACTTTAAAAGCTGACTCAGACTTAGGGCTTGTATGGAGATGAGAAATCTCTATTCTGGACGTCCTGTATCACACCTTGTGGATCCGCGCTGATAGTATCCTCTAAAATTACTCCAGGATGCAGAAATCGAATCCAAATTGATTTATTATTAAAATACTTCACAAAATTAAAAATTAATAGTAAATACAGGTAAAATGTCCTTTGTGTATACCACAACGCGTTTCGGCACTCACAGCCTTTCTCAAGTGGTCTGTTTCTCATCTCTCTATTTGCTCCTTTATACCTTCAAATTTCAGCGCCATTTCTCCGGCGTCCTGTGTGCCTTCCGTTTTCGTCATCACTCTGCGACTTCCGGTTACATTACGTGATGACGTTTTTGTTTACATCATCTTTCCTTAGCCAAACGGCTACGTCATGACGTCTTCCTGGCGCCGAACCCGGAAGCACTAACCGCGCCATTTTAGAAAGTCTTTCGACATGAAAAATTTGCCAGTCTTTTATCCATTTCCAAATACTTAATATATACATCTATATACGAGGAAAACCCACATTAACAGACAATTTATCAACAAAATGCATAAAATAGTCATAAGAAGAGGTATTATTGTCCTAAAAAAGGGGAAAAAATATATATCATTGAAAAAGAAGAACGGGGGGAAAACCATTTTTAACGTATAGATTAAATTAAAATAATATAATATATAAAATAGTTTTAAAAAAGTCATTTAAAACACTTAATACTATATACATAAATTAATCTCAAAATCTATGTTTAAACCATAGGGGGACAGTGATTCCATATTAAAAATCCACTTCATCTCTTTTTTACTAAGGAGGCGTTCTATATCTCCTCCTCTCCAGTGGGTTTTTACAGCCTCTATTCCTATAAATTCAAATCCACTGATATTCCCTCCATGTACTTCCAAAAAATGTTTAGAAACATTGTGTAGGGTAAACTTTCTATTTATATTATAAATATGCTCCCTTATCCTTATCTTCAATGTTCTTGATGTCTTCCCAATATACTGTAAGCCACAGGGACAGACTATCATATAAATTATATTTTTTGAGTTGCATGTTATAAAGGATTTTATTTCATGTGTTTTTTTGTTCTTAAAAGAGATAAAATTGGTAACTTTTTTATGTTTATTCTTTCTTAAACTACAGCCTCTACATGTTCCACAGTAATAAAAACCTTTTTCTTTCTTGAACATAGATGTAGTTTGGGGGTTTTTTTCTTTGTCTAAAAAACTCGAGGTTAAAACTTGCTTGATATTTTTCGCTCCTCTAAAAACCACTTTAGGTTGTGCTCCCAAATATTGATGTATCTCCTGATCTTGTTCTAAGATGTGCCAATTTTTCTTCATAATTTTTTGCAACTGATTACCGTGAGAACTGTAATTAAAAATAATCGGTACAATTTTATCATTTTCTTTTTGTTCTTTTGTTCTATATTTTAAGGTATTAGTTCTTAATTCCTGTCCTACTTCATTTTTTATATTGGTTAGAGAATCATAGTTATACCCTTTTTCTACTAATTGACCAATTAACACTTTTGTCTGTTCCTCATATAGTTCAGGCTCTGTACAGTTACGCTTTATTCTTAAAAACTGTCCCTTTGGTATATTAGTTAGCCAGGGTCTAAAATGACAACTTTTTAAATTAATAAAACTATTAACGTCTACAGTTTTAAAAAAGGTTTTACTTTTTATCATATTATCTTCTATATAAATAGTCAGATCTAAAAAATTAATAGTCTGTGTGCTAATTTCCCAGGTCAGATTAATATTCCAATTGTTTTTATTTAAATTATTTAAAAAACATTTCAGAGATTCTTGCGTACCTCTCCATATTAAAAAAATATAATCTATGTATCTCTTGTAGAGGACCAGATTTGTCCCGAGCTCTGGCCTTGAGAAAATCTCAGATTCCTCCCAATGGGCCATAAATAAATTTGCATAGCTCGGGGCAAATCTGGTCCCCATAGCTGTCCCCTTGGTCTGCAGATAAAAATTATTCTCAAACCAAAAAAAATTATTAAAAAGGATCAATTGGATACCCTCTATAATAAAATCTGTTTGTTCGGGGTTCAAATCTGTATCATTTTTTAAAAAATGTCTAGCAGCCTCGCAGCCTCTTCTATGATCAATAATGGTATAGAGGCTGCTGACATCACAAGTGACCATAGTAAAACCTTCCTCCCAAGTGAAACTATTTAAAATTTGTAAAAGTGACATGGTATCTTTAAGATATGAAGGACATCTTTTAACAGGATCTTGTAAAAATTGATCTAAAAACTGTGATAAGGGTGATAATAAGGAACCAATCCCCGAAACGATTGGTCTTCCGGGGGGATTTTCTGCATTTTTATGTACCTTTGGTAAAACATAAAAAAACGGAATTCTAGGGAATTTTACATTAAGAAAATCATATTCTTTTTTATTTAATAACCCTAGTTCTAGTTTTTTAGACATTCCAACAAACAAAGTTCTGGTAAAATATTGTATTTGCATGATTTGAGTGCTCTCACCACCATTTTATATTTTGCACTTTATTGACATTTGGTGTGTTGGAGTGGTTCACACTAGGTGATAGTAGCACCATAATTATACTTTGTTCCTTAACATATTTTTTATATAATATATTGCTGTATGCTGTACTGGCATTAGAATTGGGTTTGGTATGAAGAGTTCCTTCTGTATTATAGACAGTTGACTGATACAGCGGATTGATTTTTGTAGTAGGACGGACAGTGGTTGTAACGTAATCAGTTGAATCCTGACATATAGTAGATGTTGATGCAACATTTTCATCATAAAAGTCTAATTGGGTCAGATTGACATTTTTACATATGTTTTCTGTTGTGCAGCCATCTACGTGAAATTGTGTCATTCCTCCTGAAAGTAAATTAAACACAAAAAAAATTAACATTTCAACAAATAACTTTAATAAATTCAGCACCTGTATTAATATATTTGGGTACAGTGCATGGTACCCATCTGCCACAGAAGCTCTAAATCACAATCTCATAAAAACGTATCCAGTAAAAGGTAGTAATATACAATCTTGTTTTATTGATACTCAAAATACTTACCTTGGCTGTAGGTCAGCGTACTACTAATGCATTGGTTTGCAGTCCCAATGCAATCCACAAATTGTCCCGTATTGCAAGATAAAAACTCAGCACTGCAAGAGGGACAAGTCAATCCATTATAGGACACTGCAGGAACAATCAGAAATTAGACAATGAGTGAATGATAAAATGATAACTTATGCGTTGCTTAAAACTGCTAAAACAACTATCATTTATGTCAGATAAAAAGAGCAAAACAGTGTAGGTTTTTTTTTTTTTCAAAGGCAAGGAGAAATTCCTCCACTTAAAGGAAACCTGTTAGTTTTTTTCTTATCACTGAAAAAAATGTTTTCATGGTTTATTCACAAAAGTGAGAATTTTTCTGAATTCAAAGTGAATTTAACATTTTAGATTAGAAAGTATCTAAAAGTACAGGTGACTTGGGGAATGTTTGCTCTTCATCTATTTTGGACTTAAATGTAAAATTTACTGTAAATTCACTTTGAATTCCTGACAATTCTCACTTTAGTGAATAGCCATGTACATGTTCTCAAGGGTTCTCAACCTGTAATATGCTTACCTCCAGAAGTACAATCTAGTTCCCCCGGTGGTACGCAGAACAAAAATCGTTAATGGAGGTTCTGCAGGCGCAGCCACACCATAAAGATTGGGATCTATCTGGTGAACGAAGCTCTTAGGGCCATCCAATAGACATGTGCCATGAAGAGCCAAGTAGTGCACTGCAATGCTTTAACAGCATGTTCAAGCCCCTTCTAATCTCGGGTACACAAGTAAAAAAAGGTTGGGAACGACTGTTGGCATTGTTGTGTATTATCTTTTTAATCAAACATATTAAATTAATACCACTTTTTAGTATGTTTCCTTGCTTAGGCTTGTTCCACAGGGGCAGCCATATTTAACCCCTTAAGGACACATGATGGAAATAGTCTGTCATGATTCCCTTTTATTACAGAAGTTGTGTCCTTAAGGGGTTAAACCTTCTTTGGTTGGAATCTCCAACCATACTTAGAACATGCACAATTTGAAAGTTTGAAACAGGAAACAGGTTGAGAATACTTTTGGAGATGTCTGACATTTGCACATGTCAGACTTAATTATTGTGCAATAATTCTTTATTACCTACATGATATTATTGAGATTAGTAGTGCTTCTGACCCAAGAGTATTGAAAGATGTCTACCATATAGAACAAAGCTGACCAAAAAAACAAAAACGGTTTACAATCATGCATAAACAACACCACACACATACATATGGCCAGAAAACTAAAAAACACACACTGTCAGGAATATGCACAAATACACTCACTGCAAGACACACATCCAAAAATATTTATTTGCAGAAACCCTTTTCGATGCCTAACTCTTGTCATAGGAGGATGGCTTCCCTGGGGTCCAAATGGAATCCCGTTGCAAATTATGACACTCTAGTCTTTGCCTCCTGTATGGTTTCTTCACACACTGGAAAAAATATATTTCTAATCAATCACTTCTTCCTTCCCTACATCATCAGGAGGCAGGAAGGGAGGGTCAGCACACCCCAGTAAATATCTGCACCTGAATTATTTTAATGGGGTACTGGCTGTACCCTTCATTGAAGCCATGAACATACTGGAGTCTTCCTATGTCATGAGATTTGGATTGACAAATAACAAATTACAAAGTGGGCACCTGATGTCGTCTTCTGTTCCTGTCCGTCTGCTCTATGGACAGGAACTCAACTCAAAGGTCCATTGACATGTGCAGAAAAAATCCTATTAACTATTTACGGTCTTTAGAACCAATGGCGTGATAATCAACTTTATAAAAACTTCTATTATCATTATTGCTGTCACTTTTACTTCCAAGGGTATTTATAAAATATTAATAACCGGTCAATATAGCAGGTAGTTTTGATTTTAACCTAATTTGTTTACCATCTTATCTATCTATATGTATTTTTTTTTTTTTAAATGTGTTCTTTTTTTGGTGAGAGATTTGCAAAATCACATTGCAAGCAATGACACAATTAATTATTTAATTACCAGAACAGCAAATAAAGATACTGAACTCAATGTTTTTAAGTAAATATTGTCGACCGATTTAAAATGGCATTCTGCTGTGATAACAGGGCTAAACTCCATGCAATAAATACCAATACTATTGCATCATAAATATTTTATAGCAATACGTACTGTTTGGCTGCAAAGGAAGGCAGGAGTTGCCTTGGCAACAGCTATAAGCCAGGTTATTTACAATCTCTCCACCTATGAAGGAGTAGAATTGGCCACACTGCTCAGAGGTGCCACAGTCTCTGTAGAAGTTAATCTCAGTCAATGCTCCAACTAAAGGAAATATAAAAAAATTTAAAAAAAACACATTTTAAACAGGATATAGCAATGTATGATATAGCTCTGTACCGTACATCTCTGTTCCGAAACCATGCAAAAAATGAATTCTGAATTTATCCTCTGTGATTTACAACACACATAGACATAATATCTGTCCCTCACTTTCTCTCTGACGGGGTTATTCTTAATTGTGAAAATTGTCAGAAATTCTAAGTGATTGTCGGTGATTGAAAAGCCAAAATAGCAGAACTGAAAATAGAGCTTTTTTCGGATCTGGCAAAACATTTTAATTACCTTTGTATTCCCGGGATATTTCACTTTAGTTAATAACCCAGTTAGTCTTTCATCTGAGACTGACGTTCTATACCGTCTCTGCTATATAGTTTACTGTCTATTTATTTATTTTTGCCCAATGTATTATACGTTGAACTAATGTGTTGGATCAACTAAGGATCGGTTTGTAATTTTGCAATTGTACCTCGCTTTTGGTTAATAGGGACTATTACTGCGTGATACTTCTTATACTTCATCGAACATGTATTCACAGTTATGGAAGTGTTATATTGTATCTCTGGTTACATGGTAATTTCTACCTCCCTTTTTCCCTCTGCTGCCAATTTTCATTGGGACATTTTTATCAAAGCTACAAGTCTGTCCTCTCAATTACCCAGGGAACGGGAGTAGTTGTAATATAGACCTTTTGTGTCGGTTTTCTTTTTGATATTACCCTTCAACCTATTAATTTTGATTCATGAGTGAAGGAAGATTTTTGTTTTATTTGGGAATTATGGATCCAATATTTCATTAAGATAAAATAAAGGTTATGTTTTACTGATTTATTTTTTGGTGAATTTTATATTTAACTGCTATATTTATAATTCTTAAAGTGATCTGAGGGGGGTGGGGTGGATTAAAGTAAATTAATTTGTTCTGAGGTCTCTCAATGCCAGATAGAATCTGCCTTTGTTAATGTATGTCATTAGTGTGTCTCTATGAATGTTTGTGCCTATGTATGTTAATTAGTGTGTGTCTGTGTGCTTGCATGTGTCAGTGTATTTGTGCTTTGTATGACTATATGTGTTTCTATGTTTGTAAGCAAGTGTTTTTTATGTGGATGTCTGTGCTGTTGTTTTTTTCCCTCTAATATGTATACAGTACAGTATTTATGGTGTGTGAGCCAGATGATAATTAGGTTGGTATATGTAGCAAGTAATGTAAGTGTATACAGTGGCTTGTATTTGTGTTTTTCCATTCATATGTGTGAATAGTTATGTCTGTATATGTGTGTTGTAAGATGTTTGTAAGTTAAATATGTATGTCTAACCATGTATGTATATTTTGTGTGTTACAGGAAACTGCAAATTTATTTAGTCTCAAACTCACAACTTGTACCTTAATGATACCACTTAAAGCATAACATCTGGAATTCTGTAAAACATTATACCTTTTTAGTATAATTCTACATCACTCTCAATAGCATATTGTAAACTTAAAAGGACACTATAGTCAGCAGAACAACTATATAGCTTAATGTATAATCATTGCCTCCATGCATTTTAATGCAAACACTGTCTTTTCAGAGAAAAGGCAGTGTTAACATTGCCCCTAGGGGAATCTCCAAGTGGCCACTCCTCAGATGGCCACTGGAGGTGCTTCCTGGCTCAGTACTGCACAGTAGGCACCACTGCCATTCAGCGTCTCCACACACTGCACGGGGATGCTGAATTTTCCTCATAGAGATGCATTGATTTACTGCATCTCTATAAGGAGGTGCTGCTTGGCCAAAACAGTGTTTGACCCCCGCCCCTTGCCAATTTTAGCCAATTCAATGCTTTTCCCATGGGAAAACATTGGATTGGCTAAATATCGGCAATACTGTGTTCCTGACCCTATAGTGTTCCTTTAAGAAATAATATATATGTATTTTAATATAATTAGAATAATGTATTTTGTGTTTTAGAAATTTAATCTTACTTGATTTAGTTTCATATATAGATATACAAACGTCTTGACTCGATGAACATGTTATTTCTGGTCCAGTACAAGAATTGTTGATGTTAGAATTACACTGAATGCAGTTAAGAGAGGGACCTGTTTGAAAGTAAAGCCAGGTATGATTTATATTGTTAGTTTAGAGGTTCTATAATGCTCCTTCAATGCAGAATATAAATATATTTTAATAGATGTGTATAAGAAACTTGAACTTCATAGGTGATGTCATCCGTGCAGATATTATGGTAATAACAGGTAATAATGTATAGTTCACCTCCATCCTGCCCTAATTCTGGGCAGAACCCAAATTACCCAAGAGTTCCACCTTTAAGCTGTCTCAAAAGGGGGAGGTTGAAATAAATGCTACCCAGCACTGTGACTCTCCCTAATCTCAGTCCGCACATATATTATGGAACAATGTGTATTTGTGGGAAGTAATGGAGTTTGTGGAGTCTGGGTGATCCACACATACATATATTATTTACCATTAGCTGATTCATTCTAACAGTCTGTGTTCTGATCACCTTTAGGTGGAACTAATGATTTCTGATGAATATGATAGACATTCACAATTAACTGAGCTCACTAATGAATTACGTGATATTTATAGCAAAATCACCAATGCTTGAGTTTAATTTTTAGGCAAATTGTTATTACTTATTTCTACAAATTAATCTTTACTACTTGATGTTTGGGATACTGTTTCCTTATTCTGCTTTTATCTCTCTTTGCAGATCAATTAATAGCTATTTTAATAAACATACCAACAAATACCAAAAATACCAGGCTTTTGGTTCCTTGCTTAGAATTTCTTCAACCCAGTAAGCTTAAATGACCTTTAGAAAAGCTTGCAAAATTAATTTAAAGGATTGGAAGCAGACTTACGATTATCGGTTGACGTTTGACATGTGGTAGATGCCAAAGCACCATTGTCTGTAGAATACTGTAAATCAGTAAGCCCGAGGTTGTTACATATGTTGTCCGTTGTGCAGCCCTCTATATGAATTTGTTGTACTTTTCCTGTAAATTTAAAAAATAGAAAAGATAAACATTAACACAAGTGACTATGTTTTTAACCCCTTTTAACACTTTTGTGGTGTTTGTGTTTAGCTGTAATTTTCCTCTCTCTCATTTACTGTTCCCATACAAATTATATATTGGGGTTTTTTCAGGACAAAAAGGGCTTTCTCTACATATCTTTATTTCTATAAATGTCATATAATTTTATTTAATAATAATAATAAAATATGGTGAAAAATTGAAAAAAAACATGTTTTTGACTTTTACTTGAAAAATCTTTTACTCATCTACAAAAGCTAATGAAAAAATCCATCTAAGGATATTTTGACACTTTCTATGCAGCCATTTTACCACCAATCTTTGCCAAACTTTGCATAGGTAGTTTATTTTTTTCACATACATTGCAATTCAGGTATAAATTCACAGATCCTGTTATGTGTTGCTGCCAAACAACACTCCTACATGTGTTCAGCAACATCTCCGGAGTACAGCGATATTACAGCAGAAAATGGATATGCGCACCTGCCAAATGTGGCCTTTTAGCCCCCAAACAACGCAGCAAGCCTATGCATGGGGGCATGCATAGGCTTGCTGCGTTGTTTGGGGGCTAAAAGGCCACATTTGGCAGGTGCGCATATCCATTTTCCAACTTGGAATTTTGACATGTAGTCAACCTGCGCCAATGTCCTATTTGGGACATTTTTGAAGCCAGTCAATGTAATTTAACCCCATGAAAACATATATTTTTGACAAGTAGACAACCCAGGGTACTTTAAATGGTGGCATTGTACCACTTTTCATGCACTGAATTTACCCCAGCCTTTGTCAAACATTTGGGTATTAATTTTGTTTTGTGTTTTTTTAACACACATTGTACTTTAGGCATGAATTAACAGATCCTGTTATGTGTCACTGCCAAACACACCCCAATATGTGTTCAGCAACATCTCCAGAGTACAGTGATACCACCCATGCATAGGCTGGTCAGGTTGTTTGGGGGCTAAAAGGCCACATTTGGCAGGTGCGCATATCCATTTTCCAACTTGGAATTTTGACATGTAGTCAACCTGCGCCAATGTCCTATTTGGGGAATTTTAATTGAAGCTGGCCAATGTATTTTACCCCCATCAAACCATATATTTTTGAAAGATAGATAACCCAGGCTATTTTAAATGGTGGCATTTTAACACTTTTCATGCACAGAATTTACCAATAGCCTTTGTCAAACTTTTGGGTAGTAATTTGTTTTGTGATTTGTTCACACACATTGTACTTTAGGCATGCATTAACAGATCCTGTTATGTTTCAATGCCAAACAACAACCCAATATGTGTTCAGCAGCATCTCCTGAGTACAGTCATACCACCCGTGCATATGTTTGCTGCGTTGTTTGGGGGCTAAAAGGCCACAATCGAGACTTGTGCATGTCAGTTTTTCAACTTGATATATAGGTATGCTTGGCCTATTTTCAGTTTGGCATATTTTTGCCTCCCCCACTTAATGTTACCATCATGAAAGTATATATTTTTATAAAGTAGATATGCCAAGGTATTGTATATGGGGTGTTTTAACATCCTTCCCCCAACCATTGTGCTAAACAGGTTTCAGAGAACGTGCATGGTGGTAATTTTTGAATTCTGCTTTTTTATTTTAGCCAGCTGGTTATATGTTACTGCCAGAAAACACCCCAGATTGTTTTCTGCAAAGTCCCCTGAGTACACCAATGCCCCCCATGCATTGGTTTGCCACGATTTTACAGTAACAAATTTTGTACTTGCCCATTTTGGCGGAATATAGTTTGCCTGCTTTGATAGGCACATGTTGAGTGTGGTGCATTTTTAGTTGTGGTGCAGTTGAATTTTTGGTTTAAAAGTATATATTTTTATTAAGCAGACATCCAAAGTTATAGAAGATGGGACGTTCTGAGTTCTTTCCCCCAACCATTTTGCCCCAACAATTCAGAAAAAGTGTGTGGTGGTTATTTTTGAATTCTGTTTTTTATGCACACATGTAATCTGGTTTTGGCCAGCCAAATGTGCAGGTATCAAATGCACCTTTAGCAGCAATCCCTAAACTAACTCATGTTAAAAGAATCTAATGGAGATTTAGGGGAAGGAAAGTGACTGACTAAAACAGACTAAGACAGACTAAAACACAGATTTTTAACACAAATGTAACCCTTAAGGGCAAAAAGAAATAATACAGACAGTGCAAATGCACTGCTGTAACATATTTGGCAGAGAAGGGGTTAAAAGGGAATTTTTATTAACTTTAGATACTTTAAAAAGTTTCTGGAACAATTCTGGCAACACTGCTGGCAACACATTATCACAATCTCTGTCTCTCTCCCTCACAAAATGCTAGAGAGGTGAGAGGGGCAGAGATCACTGTCAAAGTGAGTGTTTGTAACACCCACTTTGACAGCAGTCAATTATGAGTGATCGCGTGTCGCATGCCTGGCAAATAGTAACAGCAGGATTTCGGCGGAAGCAATCTCTGATCGCTCCCGACGTTCATTTTCTGTGATGACGGTTCAGGATCATCACCGGTCCTTAAAGGTATCTTTCCGATGATGGTCCTGAACCATTAGCGGTCGTGAAGGGGTTAATGGCTGAACTTTGGAAAACATGAAAACTGTCCAACACTGACCTGGAAAGGAAGGTGGTTTATGTAGTGGGTGAACATAACAAGAAAAAAATTCAATTATTTTTGGGGAAGATTCATTAAAAAAAAGTGCATGATTTGTTTTATAAGACGGTATTCATGCTTATACTGAAATATTTTAATGCACCTCTCAAACACTTAAGTCTCATAAAAGAATTGGAAACATTTTATTATATTCATTAAGGTGCACTTACCTTGGCTGTAGAACACATTACTACGGAAGCACTGATTTGCTGTACCGATGCAATTTACAACTTGTCCTGTATTACAAAATAAGCCATCTGCACTGCAAGAGGGACATTTCCATCCATTAGGGCTCACTGGGGACAAAAATAAATACATGATATATGAAAGTGCAAAATAACAATAACAGGTTTCGCCTAACAGGGCTATTTCGAAGTGTTGTTTGAAAAAGACCAATTTGGTGAAACGTGTTAGTGTTTTTATGCTTTATATTGGTTTTATTATATTCTGTCTTGAAGAAAACTAGTTTTTTACTACACTCGGATCTTCCTGATCTTATATATCATATATTCTGTTTTTATTTTTCATCCAATATACTGATAAACTATTACTGCCACAATGCTGCACACTAAATAAAAAGACCCCTGTACGTTTGGCCTAAAGAGTGACAGAAGCATCTTCATATAAAGGACCGGGACCATCAACATATTCACAGGCGGAGATCATACCGACCAAGCGAACATATCTGGAGCTGATCGTAAGCTCCAGAAAATCATAGGTGTTACTCTACTTTTTTTTCATCAGCTTTAACAGATACTAAACTATATTCCATTTTTATTATTTTTTTCTCATTACATACTACCTTAACATTATATGGATTAGACATCTGCACCAGTGAAATTTCGTTTCATACGAATTACTTTGTACTAAATTAAAATTTCATTCATCCATTCCAAATATCGTCCATAAAACCTTTAGTTTTTCAAACAAAATTCGGTAAAAAAATAATTTGTTTTCGCCCATTAGGACGAAAATAACACTGTGCATGCACACAAAAAAGAGCAAGGACAGAGCAGGCAGCACTCCCAGCTCCCTCCTAGTCAGCTTGTAACTTTGCCTTATAACTCTGCATCCTGGCGCCGATCTTGAGGGGCAGAACCTTATGAGAGGACTTAATGTGAAGGGGAAGAGCCTATCACTGCACACCCTGACTATCCGCCTCTATCTACAGAGTGCCTGATCACTTTGCACCCACCCAGGATCAGCTCTACCCAGATGACTTCATTTTATTGAAGTGGACTGGGTAGTGTGGCCCTTTTAGACAACAATGTAAAACATTGCCAGTTAGGAAATACAGCAATTATAGGACTAAACACAACACTCATGGCTGTCTTCCTGACAGCCGTTAAAGGTGCTTACTTTGTCAACTTCCCTGATACTTCTTGTAGGGAGCACTGAATTCAATGAAAAAGTGGAAGACATCACCATGCTTGGTGATGCAGAAGGAGACAGAGTGGGCAACTGCAACAGAAGTGGCTTGGTGCCAGAAAAAACACAAGCAAAATATATCTAAGAACTTTGTCTACAGAAAAGTGAGTGGACAGAGATTACTGTAATAGCAGGGAATTTATAATCCCCCCCCCCCAAAAAAAAAAAATATATATATACACGTTTTACTGATTCTCCTCAGTTCTGTCATGTTGCAAGCAATGGCAAGGCTAACTCATCAGTCAAAAAAAACAGTTTGAACAAATGAATTTAACATACTAACCTGCTGGCTATAAAGTGATCAGCATTGTACACTTCAAAAAAATAATATGTGCATTTGAAATGAATAAGCAAAATGACAATATTTCATTGTGATACATACTATCTGGCTCTGAAGGAAGGCAGGAATCACTCGTGCAGCAGCTGTAAGCTAGGTTAGTTGTAATCTCTCCATTTATATTGGAGAAAAACTGGCCACATTGCTTAGAGGTCCCACATCTTCTGTAATAGTTATGTGTTACAGTGCTGCTATCTGCAAATTAAAAAAAAAGAGAAACAAATGTTTTTTTATTTGTTTTTGAGTGTTACAGTTGTGCACAAATATACATTTTCAGTTCCTAACCGAAGACCCTATCCCTCTGTCTGCCATTGAGTTTAACCACAATGGCTATGTACTAATCATAAAATTCTAAAATCAAAGTGGTCTTGTCACTTACAGAATTTACTTCTTACCAATTAGATATGTGTGGATAATTGATACTGTGTGTGTAGCTAATTAGATTACTTAATACATGTTTGCATTCTCAGTGAGAGAACGCAAAAATGTATTAAGTAACAGTACCACATAAAATACAAACTGTGACCTTCACTAAAACCGAACATCTCTTTTGGTATTTTAGGTATCACTATTTATAGGTAAGTGTAAAACAAATAAATACATTAAAATAATATATCCATATCTGAATGCAATTAGAAAAAAAAACATATTTTGTGTTCTGTTGTTTGTTTCCTATAACAAGATTTAGTCGTACTTGACTCTGTTTCATATATAGATATACAAACGTCTTGACTTGATGAACATGTTATTTCTGGTCCAGTACAAGAATTGGTGATGTTTGAATTACACTGAACGCAGGTAAGAGAGGTACCTGTTGGGAAATAAAGCCAGATATGATTTAAATCCTTAGTTCGGAGCTTCTATCATGCTCCTTCATACAGAATCAAATCATGTGTGTGAAAATAATTTAACGGATATGTTTTAAAAACTTGTACTTCATAGGTAAAGTGTCATCCGTGCAGTTAATATGATAATAAATGGATAATAATAATAAAAATAATAAATGGATAATAATGCGTAGTCCCCCCTTATATGCAGTTCTTCTCTAATGCTGGGCAGGACATAGATTGCCTAAGAATTTCACAGCAAGCCAACTCTAAGGGGGTAATCAACATAATAGTTGCCCAAGACTGTGACTTTTACCAATACCAGCCCGTATATATATTATGAGACGATGCTTATTTAGGGTAAGTAATGGAGTTTGGGGGATCTGGGGGGGATCTACACATAAATATATTATTCAATATTAGTTGACTCATTCTAGCAGTCTGCATTCGATCAACTTTGGTTGGAACTAATGATTACAGCTAAATATGATAGACATTCACTGTTAACTTGTTTAGATAAGTGTCTTTTACATTTTAGAACTAGCGAGATCACTATTCGCTTAATATTATACTGATAGAGCTCACTTACTAATTTCTTGAGAATTCTAGCAAAATCACCAAGGTTTGAGTTGATTTTATGTTGGCAAATTTGTATTATTATTCATTTCTACAGATTAATCTTTACAACTTGATGCTTGGGATACAAATTATTTACTTATTCTGCTATTCTGTCCTCCTCTTTCAGATAATTTATAGCAATTTTAATAAACTTGCCAACATCTGTGTAGGCTTCAGGGTCCTTGCTTAGACCTTCTTCGCACAATAAATTTAAATAGCCTTTAGAAAACCTTACAGAATTAATGAAAAGAATTCGAAGTAGACTTACGATTATCGGTTGACGTTTTACATGTGGTAGATGCCACAGCATCATTGTCTGTAGCATACTGTAAATCAGTCAGTCCGAGATTGTTACATATGTTGTCCGTTGTGCAGCCCTCTATATAAATTTGTTGTTTTTCTCCTGTAAACATGTAGAAAGTATGTTATGTAAAAAGGTACAACCCTGTACTAACATATGAGCAATAATGTATTGGGATTATATAATTATATATTTTTATTTTAAAATGTCACATTTTCAAACTCAAAGCTGAACAGTTCACATGTTCTGCACAAACATGCATTACAAATGAATTGGAAATATTAGATTATACAAATTTATTAATGAGCACACAAAGCACTTACCTTTGCTGTAGGTCACATTACTACTAAAGCATTGATTTGCTGTACCGATGCAATCTACAACTTGTTCTGTATTACAAAATGAGCCGTCTGCACTGCATGAGGCACATTTCCATCCATTAGAGAGCACTGGTGAGCAAAATAAAAACAGATACATCAAACGGCAACATACAACGATCAGCTATCTGTTAAAAACATAGAATGTGCAAATGCACACTGAATAATAAAATCTCTTACAGAAAGAGAAAAGAAACCAGGGTTGTTGCTAAGTTCTATAACTTATTAAAGTGCAATAATCGCTCCCTCGAGGTTGCATCCAAGGTAAATCCTTAATGCAACATTTAGCCCCTACTGTCTTATATTCGTCAGACCCAATCATATTTTCTTCCCCATCTCCCTTCACCTCCTTTTGTCTATTTCACCATTATCTCAGTATACATTTTGTCTATTTTTCTTCCCACCCCCTATAAAACTTCATGTGTCTCTCTCCTCGTGTCCCTAAACCCCCATTTGTCTCTTCCCCTTAAGACCTACAACTCATTGTTTTAGTTGTGTGGACGTCATGAATGTGCTAAAGCTGGGCTGGGTTGCTCTGTTTTGCTTTCTCTCAATATAAAATGATAAAAGCATGAGTATCCTGCCACTTGAATAGATCTTGGGCTGAAAAACTTTATATTTGGGACTTTGGCCCCTAAAGTCTTTCCTGAACAACATCTGTGGCAGAAACATGGGATTTATTTTTCTCAGGAATACTTTTAGTATAGCTAGCATAGCAGATCAAAACTCTCATATATGAGAACATGTCAGCCAGAGACACCCAGTTATTCGGTTAATGGTCTTTGCAAGTTTTTTGTGGAACCATTCACGTATGGTTTGACAAATATTGTCAAGTTCTCCCTAGCACGCAAAGCTCCTGCTCCTCTGCAGTTGCTCGCGTAATGCAAAAGACTTCTGGATTCTCAGTCCAAAGCCATTGTACTTTTTCCAGTAAATTCCTGTGTGTTCTGTGGGGCCACCATGTTAATCTCATTTATAAATACTGAAAATAGAAATTACAAAGATTTGAACCTTAAGGAAGTCCACGTGTAACTTTGAGTGGGTAGAATACGTTATTGACAATATTATTGCGTTGTTTAAATAGCTCTAGCAAGCTTAACCTGTTCCATAACAGAGTGATTCGAGTAAATGAAAGACAGAGCTGGGACAGGAATTTAGGTTGATGGTCATACCTCCACCATTTGCTCATGGACATTTCTATTAAATATTTTAGATCCCATTCGTAGAATGATAAAGGTCTACAATAGGTATTAAGGGTGTCTCAACAAGTTTACGATTCTAGCTAATCATTTGCTGGTTTTAATTAAAAAGATGAAAATATGTTTACTGTCAGCCAATACATGTTTCTTATTTGCATACATCTGAACTGTAAAGTACATATGTAAAAAAATTAAGAAAATAAATGAAATGACAATATTTTATAGAAATACATACTGTCTGGCTCTGGAGGAAGGCAGGAGTCGCTCGTGCAACAGCTGTAAGCTAGGTTATATGTAATCTCTCCATCTATGTAGGAGTAAAACTGGCCACATTGCTTAGAGGTCCCACAAGTTCTGTAGTAGTTATGAGTGAAAGCGCTGTTTCCTGCAACTGAAAATATTATTTAAAAAATAAATATGAGAGAAAATCATGTCTTAATTTTTTTGCAGTTATGCACGAATAATAATCTTCCAACATTAACTGAATAATTAATCTATCTGTCTCTCTTGCTGTCTGTCCTTTTGTCTGCCTACCTATTGGCTAAAAAAAACCAATCAGACTATGTAATACAATTATTTGGAGCAATCCCATCTCAGAAATAAAGTACATTTCCTCACATTAGAACTAAAGTATATACCTCATACTTAAGTAGACTTGTTGATTGTCTCTTTGCAATATGATTTATCTCTTACAATATTTTTCTTGTTTCTTTATTTTCTCTAGTAATGCAAACGTCTTTTGTTATTGTAATTATTATACTGTTACCTAAAGTTCTCTCATATATAGACAAGCAGATATCTCCTGGTGAACATTGTACTTCTTGACCCAAACAATTATTTTCAGAGGTAGAAGAGCACTGAATGCAGATATTGGAATGACCTGTTGAGAAATAGAAAGAGCATTTCAGAACCGACATCCTCCCTCATGTTTATATACTTCATGGTAGACTGTTGCCTATATATTATGGCAACCTAGATGTCTGTGTGTTAAATGAACACTCCAAACACCATAACCACCAAAGCACACAGTGTCAGAAGTGCCCTGGTTAGCCTTTATTGTAAGTAGTCAATCTATTTTAGAATGGTTTGACTTCTTACCAGGAATTTTCTGTGCCCTGCTCCCCACCTACACTACAGCCAACAGAGAATCAGAAGCTAATGCTTAGGAGCCCCCATCTAGCTCTCCTGAGCTAAGCTCAGCAATGCAGGACCAGCTCTTTGCCTTAGTGCTTCAGCTGATTGCTCTCAGCCAATGAGTTACGTTTTGCAAGCCTAGGCTTAGCTAGACAGGGAGCTTCTGACTCTCTATTTGTAGGAAGTGGCATCCTGCAGAACCTAGGTGAATAATAAATAAGGCATCTCGGCACTCCTGGCATCCCAGTGGTTATGGTGCATGGAGTGTTCGTTCGATACATCTTTTAAGCATTCTGTGAAGGACAAGTTCATATAATAATACCTCCACCAAGACTTTTACTCTTCTGATATTAATAAGTTGATTACCAGAGCTGTAAGTTAACATTATCACAGTTATTCACTAAAGTGAGAATTTAAAGTGAATTTCAAATTTAAGGCCAAACTGGTAGCACATCTGGCTTAAAGACTGTCCAGTTCGGCTATTTACACTTTCAATTTGAAATTCACTTGTTTTTCATGTTGAAATCTTATTTTAGTGAAAAACCCTGTTTACTGTCATACACATTGATGTCACCACAGTGGTGGCTCTCTAGATTAGCGAACAATGATTATTTATTTGGGAATCATTGCAAAATATACATCTGGAATAAAATGTAAGTAAACGGTTTATTCACTGAAGGTCATATTGAGCATCTTTGCAAGTAACTTACACAATGGCAAGTAAATTAACCAATTTAGGAAATCTCCAAGCTTGGTATTTACTAAGTACAATGAAACACTTATTGCAGTCATCTTACCTTGTTCACCTTGCTGGGTGGGGAGTCACGATTCATACACAATGAAAAAGGAAATCTTCAAACATTTCTATTTACTGTGCTTCAGCCAGAGGCGTAACTAGAAACCACAGGGCCCTGTTAAAAAATTGCCCTGCCCCCCCCCATCGTCAACCCCCATCACCCTCCCCTAATACATCGACCGTTCCCCTCCCAAACGTTTCCCCATCCCCCCCACACATGCAAACGATTACACATGCAGACACACACATAGACACACACACATATACAGAGACACACACATGCAAACACACATACATACAAACAGATACACACACACATACAGACACACAGACAGACATAAACACACACATACATACAGACACGCATACATACAGACACACAGACATACATACACACAGGCATACATACACACACATACAGACACACAGACATACATACATACACACACATACATAGATTCATACATACACATATACCTTTCCCTGGGGTCCAATGGTGGCTCAGCCTGATAGGAGTCAGAGTTCCCACTCTGACTCCCTCCTCCCATGTGGCTCCCGGTGGTTTCTGGGAGGACAGTCACTTCCTCCCAGCCTCTGAAATCATCAAAGAGGGCCCAATTGCGCAGTTAAAGCACTGACTGGGCCCCCTGGAAATACATAGCATCGGGTGGCCCTAACAGCATGGGCCACCTAATGGGCACCTTTAATGCAGCCCCAGCAGTTATACTGCGCGGGCCAGGGCCGCATTACTTAGCCGGTGGGATCCACGGTCGCAGGGGTACGCAGGGCGGCCAGGCCGCCTGGAGAAACGGGCCCGGTCACAGCTGCGACGCCTGCTGCCGCAGCAGTTCTGCCACTGGCTTCAACATATTATTAGAAACATAGAAATATAAAAACATATAATGTGACGGCAGATAAGAACCATTCGGCCCATCTAGTCAGCCTAATTTTCTTAATACTTTCATTAGACCCTGGCCTTATCTTATAGCTAGGATAGCCTTATGCCTATCACATGCATACTTAAACTCATTCACTGTGCTAACCTCTACCACTTCAGCTGGAAGGCTATTTCATGCATCCACTACCCTCTCAGTAAAATAATACTGATATTTTTTTTTAAACCTTTGCCCCTCTAATTTAAGACTATGTCCTCTTGTTGTGGTAGTTTTTCTTCTTTTAAATATAGTCTCCTCCTTTACTGTGTTGATTCCCTTTATATATTTAAATGTTTCTATCATATCCCCCCTGTCTCGTCTTTCCTCCAAGCTACACATGTTAAGATCCTTTAACCTTTCCTGGTAAGTTTTATCCTGCAATCCATTAACCAGTTTAGTAGCCCTTCTCTGAACTTTCTCCAAAGTATCAGTATTCTTCTTGAGATACGGTCTCCAGTACTGCATACAATACTCCATATTATGGGAGCCCATCAATGTACAGGGAGGGCCAAAATAAAAAATATGATTTGACAAGTAAAAAACATTTTTATTACTAGTTACATTTTTGTTCTTGTAGGTGCACAGTGTAACTGAGTCTTGGGAGAATTATAAAGGGTAATTTCACAAAGCAACAATGAGTAAAAATTGTAGAATTTTATTTTCAAAATAGCATGTCTATTATTTAGTCGCATAGAGCTTACAAGCAATTCCCAGATTAATTGCCAACCATGTTTGCTCATCCTCTACATTCCTGAATACTTCATGTGGGGAAACCTGAAGCAGTGTGTGTAAATGAACAAACTGCGTACACTTAAGCCGCTCAAGGAGAATATTTATGTAGAAAGTCAAACGCTTGGGCTCTTTCAATTTTTTAATGTTTGAGGTTCGGCTTAGTGGGGCGACAAACAGAGCTTGTTTATAATATGTCATATTCCGTACCTAGTCAAACAAAGCTCCATAGGTTAAGCATTTCATTGTATGCAATATCATTAAAATAGGTTCCTTAATTAAAAAAGTTATTGACGCCTTAAACGCTTCTCTGAATTTTGGCCCATTCTGTATAATACAGAGTACACTTAATTTCTTTCACAGTAATTATTCTCTGCAGGGTTTATGGGAAATAGCAATAGGCAGTATGTTGGCAGCAAGGGTTCTTATTGTAATCTATTAATCAAGTACTTATAAAAAAAACTATTTTTCCTTTCAGTTCAGGAAGGGATATCAGAATGGTAGGCTGGCTGGTACAAGCTCTGCAAGTTATTTGACCTGTAGCTGGCTTGTAGTCAAGATTTCAAATTCAGGCATTTATCTTGTCCTGTACAGAACACCAAAGTAGGATATCCTTATCCACTCACACCTTACGATGCATGTATTGAGATGCAGTTCACATGATTTTCTATTTGCAAGGAACACAAAATGATTCATAGTTCTTACTTTATCCTCACACTAGTGAGTAAAATTTATTAATAGGTGCAGTGGGTGAGTGTTGGTAATAATGTGAAGTGGATCCCTGTTGATACTCCCACACCTGCCTTTTGTTTGAGTTTGGGCAACCCAAACCAAGGGAGCGATGCATATGAGTTCTCATCTTGCCTTACCGCAAGGGAGGGCTTGGGGTTACTATGGAGAATGGTCATTCTCGAAGCATTCTCCTAAGTCCTGTCCTGTGGGAGAGTGGTGACTAAAGAATGAACCATAAAGTTTCCATATCATGCCCCGACTCCACGGCATGCATTCATGCCAAACTAAATACACAGTGCAATGGTTTGCACCATTTTGCACCAAGAGTACCCATTCAAACATCTAGTATAGAATTTTACAATGCAGAGGGCACTCAGGCACCTGGCATTTGTATGCCCATCTGTTGCTTTATGTACCTGGGAGCCTGGCACCCTCTGGCACATTATTCACAGGGGTTCCATATAAGCCAGGTTACAGTTGACAGCTTGACTTGTTCACCACTAATTGCATTATATTAACTTTTATATTACATTTATATTTTTAATGTTCCTATTTAGTTACTGCCTCCAGGAATGGTACATTCCTGTTTGCAATACATGGTTATCTAAAAAAAAAAAAAAATTCAATATTTATTTTATACACATGGTTAACATTGTTTCCACAGTTTGCCAAGGGCGAGCAGGACATTTTAATAACTTGCTGGCTCGGAGTCAGCTTCAAAGAAAACAGCAAAGAGGAATTTTAAAAAAAATGTTTTTCACGTAATAAAATAGAATCTGATTTACATTGATTTGATATTTTTTTTTCTGTTTACTATCCCAATAACATATGATGAAATGAGGGGTTTACTAAAAGTTCTATATAATATAGGGTCGGTACACGGTTAAGATTTTCCCATTCCATAGATCTTGATGCAGATTTTAAGACATCTGTCTCTTATTTTTTAAAGTTACAAGGAGGACATATTTTAAAGTCAAGGGAAATTTTGAGTCGGGGATCCATAGTAGAGGAAAATAGAAGAAAGGTCCAGGCACTCCAGGATACAAAAAGGCACATTTATTGAACCCACTGCCACTCACAACGTTTCGACCTATACGGTCTTTGTCAAGGGGATCCATTTACAATGATTGCATACACTCCAGTAAAAATATCTTCACATATAGAGAATTGTGGGTTGGCCATTGGCAAAATCCTATGAAAAGCTCTATAGAATATTCAAAATTGGGCAAAGTATTGGGCAAAAGTTTCACTACTTACTGTAATTCTATTTTACTGATATTCCCAAATCTCTCTGCCTCACTTTTCTATCCTTACTCCTTTTTCTTGTAGGTGCTCAGCATTCTCTGTGTGTCTGATTTTATACCAGAGCTATATAGCAATACTACTTGCACTAATGGATTATTAAACTATAGTAATATATTTTTAGAAATCACAGATCTTTACTAAAGTGGAAATTCAATGTGAATTTAAAGTGAATTTCAGATTTAAGGCCAGAGTAACTGAATTGGAAAATTTCACCAGAAATGAATTTTGAATTTGCAACAATTCTCATTTTAGTAAATGTCTCTGTCAGCCTGTCTAAATAAAACAGTGTTCTTGTTCTAAATTATATTTTAGTTGCATAAATTATTTTTCTCAGAAAATCCCTGCCTCTGGCCACCCCCTCACTCACATCACTAAAAGGAAAGTGTCCCTCTTTGTCAATTTGAGATGTTGGGATATATAACATTGAGTGTCTGATAGAAATACAGTGCCAGATAGGAAAGCAGTTCGAGATAACCAGATCTGTAAAGAAACAAGTCTTAATAAATCATGTGTTGGTTAATGTAAGACAATGTCCTGGAAGTAGTAAAACACCCTTCATGCTGGTGGCTTTCTTCTAATAATATAAGAGGATTATTATTATTATTATTATTATTATTATTACGTAATGAAGTCAGAAATTTTATAGACCTTCTAGAACTGTCAAAAAATGCTGAAACCTTGAAATGGTAACTAAAACACCTGCAAAGTACAGACAATGCCTGGACCAATATCACAGGGTGAATATGAACTTCGAAGAGTAAACTTTTCTGGTGAAATAAGATAACTATATTCGCCCCTTAAATAAGACCTGCTCCTTAATTTCATAAGAACCAATGGCAGTCTATCTCAGACAGAGATAAATAGATTGCTAAATAAAGTGAAATAGCAGGATACAAAATATAAATTCCAGGAAGGGAATCCACGGATCAGATACGGATATTATTTAAGATAAATTGCTAAAAAGATAATACAATTCTAATTTCAGTAGTAAGTGCTATTTCTCTCAAAGGAAGCCAGTGATAGTTATTAAAAAATATATATATTTTTTTATTAATTAAAATTTTTACCGTCAGGTGAAAATAAATAAATAAATGAAATAAAAAAATAATAGGGCTACGTTTTTAGTTTTGTTTTTTAGCAGTAATCAAATGCAGATCTATAACTTAAATAACCTTGAATTTCATGGAAATTAAAGTCAAACCTGCACAATGAAAACATATTCATTGGAATGTTTATCATTTGTGAAATTGTGTGAATTATGTCTGTGTGAATTCTAAATTACTGGTTAAATAAATCACTTAGACCAGGGATTCCCAACCCAGTCCTCAAGTACCCCCTACCGGTCCAGGATTTTGGGATTACCCTGTTGTGTCTAAAGTGTTTTTGTTTTGCTGTTTTCTAAAAACTCCTTAGACACAACTGGGCAGTCTCAAAACCCTGGACGGTTAGGGGGTATTTAAAGGACTAGGTTGGGAACCACTTCCTTATGCTACTTAGTAAGAAGCCATTTTCATAGAAATAAGCATCTAATTCTGACAGGGCTTTTTGCCAAACTTTAAATTGTTGACTATTCCATGTAAATTTAATGTGAATTTAAAATCTTAGTCCACAGTAGCTGGTTTGGAAAAAAAAATAACTTGAATTTCACCATTAGGCTAAAATTTCTGAATTGAAAAAGTCCGTTCTGCTATTTTGACCTTTCATTTGGAATTGCTTTGAATTTATGGCAATTCCGACTTAAGGAAAATAACCATGTTCGAAGTAGTAACAATTCACACTTACATAAACATTCCTTTAACTGAACTATAGAAGAAGAGCTCTGCAGTTCGCAGATCTGAGTTCCTATGGATTGTTCTTGTCAATGCAGCAGATGTTCTCTGTGAACACATTGGCAAGATTTTGCAAAAATCCAATCAACTCACCAAAAAATAATTTCTGCTGGTTTCTGCTGAGATCGCCAGCAATTATGCTTGTTTATTCTTGTTGGTTTAATATGGAACCACTTTGAAAGCTGATTTAACAAAATGATCAAGACGATAATGAAGACTTTAAAAAAATAAATAAATAACAAAGAAAATTGCTAATGCCAGAAGTCATCATATCATCTCTTTCAACTTACCAAGTGGAAGCACAGCAAGAAGGTTATAAATAAGCACAAAAACACTTCTCATCTTGTCGAGATGAATACGTCTTCTTGTCTTTGCTTGAATTTAACTCTGGTGTTTCTGATCTTTAAGTTACCTCTTAACAGGAAGCCATTTCATATAAGTATTATTTGAAGGTTGTTTTCATAAAACAACCAGGAAGAACATTTTAATTTTTGTAAAACCCGGTTATCTTAAAATGATAAGGGTGTTCTATTATTTAATGTGTACTTGTGGTTGCAGGTTTCACTCTTCTTACAAGGTCATGCTGAATACATGTGGATGCTCACCATAATGGCCAATAAATACTGGGGAATACTGAGCATGGTTTGCTATATACACATATTTTTTTAGACTTTAATCAGAAAGACAGAACCATCTATGAGCAATGTATGATTCTCCTCCTACAATGGAGGCCCTTACATAGTTACATAGTTGCAAAGCTAAAAAAGAGACATTGCATCTGTTTTTGCTGTTTATCCAATGGAAGGCAAATAACCCAATTTGAAGTGCTTCCAATTCTCCAACAAACTCGGAAAAAAATCAATAACAGACAAACCTTAGTAACAGAATCAAAATGTTATGTCTTTGTGTTTGTAATGGCTGTAGGGCATTTAGGGCATATCCCAACTAAGATACAATTTTAAAACAAATGGAGAAAAGCCCCAGAGAGCTAAACCCCAAAGGAATTACCCACAGAGTACAAACATTCAAAAAGGTAATTAAAGAAAAAACAGACAAAACATCACTTTACTGAGTCCTTATTTTTGGACAGAGTTGACAAAAGAAAAGAAACCAAAACAGTCCATTTGTGAAAAACTTCACAATCTTCTTAATATGATAATTAAATCTTATAATATGTTACTATATTGGCTTAGAAACTATGGCCAAGTAAGGGCAATGGATGTGTTATAATTGGTTAAAGATCTATAACTATCAAAATAAATATTATGACACTGAATATAAGAATATAAGACCGAAGTGCCGAATTGCTGAAGTCCTGAATTTCAGAAGTGCCGAACCCTAGGGGTGTGGTTTGGGTTGGAGTTAGGTTAGGGGTAGGATTATCGGTAGGGTTAGGGTTAGGGGTTAATGTTAGGGGTAGGGTTAGGGGTTAGTTTAGGGGTAGGATTAGGGGTAGGATTAAGGGTAGGGTTAAGGAGAAGGGTTAGGGGAAGGTTTGGGGGTAGGGTTAGGGGTTGACTTAGGGATAGGGTTAGGGCATTGCTGAATTCCCAAAGTCTCGAAGTGCCGAATTCCCAAATTGCCAAAGTCACGAAAGTGCCGAACCGAAACCGAATTTGTTGCCGATGCACATCCCTAATTTGAAAAATGCTATCATAATCCCTCTGGGGCACAGTTTTTTCCCCTAAACTAAAGATATTTAAATATGTTAACATTTTTTCATAACTAAATTGTTCCATTCCTTTTATTAATTTTGTATCCCACCTCTGAATTTTGTCTAGTTCCATAATATCTTTCTTTAGAACACATGCTCAAAATTGCACAGCATATTAAATGTGTCGTCTTATCAGTGATTTATAAAGAAGCAAAATTATATTTTCATCCCGATAAATACTTCTCCTATTTACACATGACGATATCTTACTGGCCTTAGCAACTGATGATTGACATTGCACATTGTTGCATAGTTTATTGTCGTTAACAATTCCCACATCCTACTCGTTTGTTGTTATCCCTGATTCACTACCACTTAGGGTGTAAATTGCTTGTGCATTCTTTATCCCAAAGTGCATAACTTTGCATTTTTCTACATTACATTTATTCTGCTGCCTGTGCCAGGATTGAACTGGACTGTGACAGCAGTTGCTAAATAAAACACAGCCAATTCAATAATTCAATATTCTGTGCACACATGTGAATAAAAGGTGTAGGGAATGTTTGAATATGACATACTCAGTTTGGATTTGAAGAGTTCATATATAACTGCTCCCTACTTCCACTATAGCTCACAGAGAGTTGAAATATCTTAGTATGAGCTAAGTCCAGTGGTGCAAGGTGATTAGCTTAGGTGATCTATTGAAAGCTGATAAACCCGGCAGACATCAAGTAAGATGGGTTATTACAGGTTTGACATCTCACATAGGGGAGCACTAGGGCACTCTTGGCACTATAACTACTGGAGCGTGTTCTGTTGGTTATGGTGTCTGAGGTGTTCTTTTAATGTGCACATTTTTGCACTAATATAATGTTGTGTGTACCCATAGCTATAAATGTGCCTCTTATTTCCTTTTGTTAAAACAGATAAGAAAATAACACAAAAAAGGTAGTTGTGGGCAGATATGACTTGTATATACATATAACTTTGAAATACAATCTAAATACTAAAAGTATTTAAAGGTGATACAATGAACTCTAGTTAATATATAACAAGAGTTTATTAATGTGTGTTTTATGTATTTTCAATGTGAAATCAGTAATTTTGAAAACAATATGGCTTTAGTATTAAAGGTGTTTGCAATCACAGTACATTAAATAGTTCAGCTATTTCCCAGAATTCCCTGATGCACATATTATTGTATCCAACTCCGTAGTACTATTTTTCTAAATTTTTAAAAGATGAAAGACAGGGCGTCACATAATCACAAGATAACACAATACATGACTTTAACACTTTGACATTGAAATGCTAGTGAGTTTGAAAGCAGCCAGATAGCATTACAACAACCTTGTATGATATCAGGAGAGACATATCAAAGTGGAATAAAAGTGTGAATCACCAACGGAATGTGCCTGATGGTGCCACTGGTTTCCTTGGTCCCATTTTTAATATTTTAGATCACTTTTTAGAACGGAACACTTTGATAAATCACCCTAGTATGTCCTGAAACAATCATTGCACACAAAAAAAAAAAGGATACCAAAGGAAAACTTGGTATTTAAACAAAAAGTTGCCTTTGCTGTTCCTATTATGCTTTGTCAGAGCAAAGCATGATGGGAATGAGTGAGAAGCAGTTCCACAAAAGAGATCTGCAGTAATAATAGTGGTGCATTAACCCCTTAAGGACACATGACGGACATATTCCGTCATGATTCCCTTTTATTCCAGAAGTTGTATCCTTAAGGGGTTAATAATTAAGAATCTAAGCGTTAACAAAGTAAGCGTCGCCTTTAAAGGTTTTACTAATATATTAACCAGTTGTGACTAGTGGAGGCAAAAGTAAATGTGTATAGAGAGAGAGGAAGCTGTATAACAGAGAGGTCTATTTAATGGACAGCAAGGCTGTTTAGAGGTTTTGGAGACATGGTAGATGTCATAACAAACAACAAGACAAAATAATTTATTTTCTAAGTGTCTCCAGAACCCCAAGATGGCATTATGATCCCCCTAACACATGGTTCACCTTTATGTATCACCAATATATATTATTAGAGCTCTTTGGTGAGGTCATTCTACTGTACTTGCAATGCAGGTTAATGCAGCTGCAATATCAGTGAACGTTCAAGATACTGATGAGCATTGTGATCAGGGCCGGTGCAAGGATTTTTGCCGCCCTAGGCAAAAGTAAAGTTTGCCGCCCCACCCCCCCCCCATATGACATCACAATGCCCCATTTTAACTAACGCAAGTGCTGCAGTGCCGCCGTGTTTACATTAAAAGGCCTGCAGGGACAGGCTATAGACACCAGAACCACTACATTAAGCTGCAGTGGTTCTGGGGACTAAAGTGTCCCTTTAATGTGAGGTAAATTAGAGCTTAGTGCCACGAATAATATACTAGATTGCCTACTTACAATCAGATGAGGATGGTGATGGGCTCTAGCTGCAGTCTGGCTCCACTCGTCTGGAGGCTGTTTGTGTTCTGGGAGAACGGGAAGCAGCTCCATTTTTTGGGGGCCCTTTACACAGCTCAAGGTCTGGGCCCCAGGGTCCACCTTCATGTTCCACCAATTATTTTGTTCACAGGAGTAGGGGATGTCCTGATATGTGTGTAAGGAATGCATTGTGTGAATCTGTGTTTGTATGTGTAAGGGCTGCAATGTGTGTTTCAATGTATGTACGGGATGCAGTGTGTGCGTGTGTAAGGGGTGCATTGAGTGTGTGTAAGGAATGCATTGTGTTTCTGTGTGTGTAAGGGATGCATTGTGTGTAAGGGTTGAATTGCTTGTGTGTGTGTGTGTGTGTGTCTGTGTGTGTAATGCATTGTGCGTTTTTCTGTGTGCAAGGGGTGCATTGTGTGTGTGTGTGTGATGGATGTCAATCTCTCCCCCCTCCCTTGTCCCTCTCTTCTCCCCCTCTCCCTCCCTCGTCACTCTCCCCCCCTTGTCTCTCTTCTCCCCCCCTTGTCCCTCTCTTCTCCCCCCTCTTGTCCCTCTCTTCTCCCCCCTCTTGTCCCTCTCTTCTTCCCCCTCCCTTGTCACTCTCTTCTCCCCTGCGTGTCCCTCTCTTCTCCCCCTCCCTTGTCACTCTCGTCTCCCCCGTTGTAACTCTCTTCTCCCCTCCCCACTCTCATTCCCCCTCCTAACCCCGTCAATTCCCCTCCCTGTCAATTTCTCCCCCCCCACCTTGTCAATTTATTCCCCCCACCCTGCCTGTCCATTTATCCCCCCACCCTGCCTATCCATTTATCCCCCCCCCACTGTCCATTTATTCCCCCCCTCCCTGTCCATTTATTCCTCCCCCTCCCCTCCCTGTCCAT